CAGTTCTTGGATCAGTACCAAAATATTTTAATTATATGGATTTTTATCTGGTATTAATATCTGATATGGAAAGTCTCAATTATTTACCCTTTCAGAGCTGATCTATTTATGGGATTTATTTTTCTATTTAAACATTGAAATGTATGACATTCCTCAAAATATCTAGCTAGAATTTTGATTGGGTTGTGGTGACATTATATATTAATTTAGGAAAAAGTCACCACTAAAAATACTATCATCCTATTCAAGAGCATAGAATATCTATTCAGTTCTACTTTTAGGTCTTTAACAGAATTAAAAATTTTTCTCTACAGAGATCTTGTGAATGCTTTTTTAATTTCTAGAAACTTCAACTATATAGTTTGTTTCTACTAAGAATGTATGTTATTATTATATCTTCTATTACTATATACAATAGTTACACTATTGTAGAGAAATGCTCTTGATTTTTGATTTTTATACATTTATCCAATGTCTATTTACTTTGCCATACTCTTATTCTCATAATTGATGGACTCTTGTGGGTTTTCTACTCAGGTAATTATATCACCTACAATTACTTTTTTCCCCCTTTGTAATCATTACACTACTTTTTCTTTTTTATAGTATTCACCAGGATCTCCATTAATATGTTAATGGATAATACAATAGTTATCACTATTGTAAAGAAGTGCTCTTGATTTTTTATTTTTATACATTTATCCAATGTCTGTTTACTTTGCCATACTCTTATTCTCATAATTGATGGACTCTTGTGGTTTTTCTATTCAGGTAATTATATCACCTACAATTACTTTTTTTCCCCCCTTTGTAATCATTGTACTACTTTTTTCATTTTTATAGTATTCACCGGGTCTCCATTAATATGTTAAACAATAGAATTTTAGTTCTGAGTTTTTCTGGGTATAATACTTAGAATTTTCTGTTCTTTAATCCTTATCTTTTTCAAGAAACAAAAATTTTTGTTATTTTCTTCCTTATATCTCAGACATCCTCTTTGATTTATTTCTAGTCTTACTTGAGTTCTTCCTTTAGTTTTCCAAAGTAGGTCTGTTTTTCGGGGAAATCATCTGAGGCCTTCCTTTCCTCCCTGTATTTTTTAAATTTTGGCTTCACAGTTAAATGAAAATTTGGTTGGATATAAAAACTCTAGGCTTAAAGTGCTTTTCCTTTTAATATTAAAAAAAATTAATTATCTCGTGTCCAATGTTGCTATTGAGAAATTTGATATTAACCTGTTGTTACTCCTTCATAATTTACCCTTTGAAAGCGTTTATAATTTTTCTTTATCCTAGATGATCTTAAATTTCTCTATTAAATGTCTTAGATGCGAGTTTTTCCTTTATCTGTACACTGCAGGATTGAGAGGAGAGTGAGAAGCCCAGCTAGGGTGTAAAATTTAAGGAGGCACTCGCTCCCAGGGTCATGCAAGCACCTCCTTAAAGTTTTGCATCCTTTGTGCCTCATTGCCTCATCTTTCTCCGGCCCCTGCTACCTGTTTGATATTTTGTGAGCTCTTTCACTCTGAGGTGTTTGATCTTTCTTTAATTCTTCGATATATATCATCATCATTTTCTCAAATATTTCCTTCCCTTCCCTCTATTTCTTCTTAGTTCTGGTGTTGATACTTCCACCTTCCATGCCTCTGAACTTTTCTTTAATATATTTCTTTATCCTTTCCTGCTGCCTTCTGGGACAGCTTCTCCGTCTGATTTTCTAGTTCATGATTCTTGTTGTTTAGACCATCTATTTTCTTGTTTCAACTGTTACATTTTTTATTTCTAACATTTTATATTATTCCTTTTTATGACCTGTTCTTGTTCATATTAACAATACCTTCTTCTGTATCTTTGAGGATATTTGTTATGCTTATTTTAAATTCTTGGTATATTGGTTCTGATAATTCTGCTTCACACAGTATATGTTTTAAAATTTTCTGTCTTTTATAGTCAAATTTATGGTAGATCATGTTCCCCTAGGGGAATCAGTAGCCCTCTGCAGGCAAAGGCTGAAGACCAGGGTCTGGTTTGTGTGCCTGCCACGAAATTTAAGGAAAGAAAATGAGGCTCAGGCTGGAGAGCTTCCGGTACCAGAAACCCTATTTTGACCATTGTTAATTACTGTCACTCTACTAGGCTGGTCCTCTAGTCAGGAATCCACCCTACCAGCCTTAAACTGTTTTTTAAAAAAGGCATCACTGAGAGAGGGCAGTATCTTGATGTTTTTAATTCACCAGCATTGATGGTTGCTGGGGGAATGTTGGAGGAAGAAATGCCCAAGGGGGCAACATGTACCCGTTTTCATCAGCTCCTTATCCTGGAGGGACTTCTGTGCTCTTCTGATGACTGTGTTGACAACAAATGACTAGGCAGTTGCTGCCAGTTTCTGTGGCCCTGGGCAAGCATGATCTTCCCAAGGCAATGTGAGGGAAAGTCAAGAGCAGATTTTAAAAGCTCTCCCCCAACCTATTCTCTCTTGGCTACATCTGACCTTCCTACCCTCCAGCCCAAACTGCAACTAACCCTTCATACCAGCTCACTAAAGCGTTTGGGTTTCTCACAGTTTTTTTTTGATAGCTCCGGTTCCTGCTTCCTTCTCCCTTCCATGGTTTCTCCTTTTGTCAGGATACAAAAGAGCTAGCCCTTTGCCAACTTTGAAGACTCCATAATTTGACCATAGCATCCTAGAGACTTCACAAACGCTGCCCTTAATTTTCACAATGCCAAAAGCAAATTATTATTTTCTTCATTTTAGAGAGGAGGAAATAGAAAATTTCAATGAAGTTTAGTGATTTTTTTCAAAGTCACAACTAAGAAATGTGGTAAAGCCAGAATTCGAAAACATGTCTTCTTCCCAAATGCATGCTTTGGATATTTCATTACCACCACTTAATTAATGCCTAAATTTAGAGCTGCTTCATTCTGTCTATCCACGAAGTTATGAAACTGTGTCCGAACATACTAATGTTCTGTGAGTTGGACCATGATATTCATCAAAAAAAAAAAAAAATGGTCATATCTTTTCCCACTTGGTGGAAAATAAGTTATGCATAGAATTTTCTCTGTGTCATGCTTATTAAATCTTTGTACTGCCTTTTTCTGTGTTCTAGCAAGTCCTAAAAGAAAGGTAATGATTTAGTAGAAAATGAGTTTTGAGCAGTTGATTGCAATTAGAAATCAAGAAAATGTTAACAGTTAACTTTTTTTATACTGCTAACTGGGAAAAGATTGCCATTTTGTATCATGTATAAGTATTTGAATACTCATCATTCTTGCTAATAAAGTTAGCTTATAACAATGTCTGAATATCAAAGTGAATTCGTGAATGCTTAATAAATGTAAATTTACTAACATTTTTCTTATGTATTCCTCTAATTTTAAAGGTGTGATTTTTAAAAATTAAATTTTTTTAATAGTTAATATATGCATATAGCACAAAATTCAAATGGTACAAAAAGATATACAGTGAAAATTGAATCCACTTCTCCCCACCTCTGTCCTCCAGTCACCCAGTTCTCTTTCCCTACAGTCACCACTGTTACCAGTTTGTTACATAGCATTTTGTAGATATATTAGGTGTACATAAACTCTTACATACTTTTTTTTTTTTTTTTTTT